TATATATATATATATATATATATATATATATATATATATATATATATGATTAACAAATTGGATTACTGTATTAAGATGTCCTCCATATGTCTATTTTTGTGCCAGTTTGACAAAAAAAATTTAGTTAAATCATTTTAACCATTTAGACAAATATATTTTTTATTATTGTTACAACAATTGTGTTTATTTTATTAAAACACTGACCATGTTTAAGACATTGCTTTAATTCTGGCTTTTATTACAATACAGGATTCTGCAAATTACTTACAATGTGTTATCGCGAGAATACGTTCAGCGTGCGTAGCAACCACCGTTGTCCGGCATTTTTGCACCGCCCACTTTCGAGAGTAGCAGAATTTGGCCAATCGTAACACGTCTTGAATGCTATCAGCCAATAGGAGCTGTCGTGGGCGGTCCCAATTATGTCAAGTTCCGTGTGGAAAGTTTACCGGCTCGGGTGCAAAGTTTCAGCCGTCTGCAAATTAGAGCTCGTCGGCAGACGTGTCTAAAATATGCTGGTAGTGACGTCCACGGTTACTAAAGTCTAGAAACTTCCTTTATTTTTTTTCCCCCTCGTCGTATGTCTTCATGTGTAGCTGCCTGGTATATTAGCGTCGGTCGTATCGTCTCCGGGAGGCGGTTGACAGATGTCCGGGGAGGTCTGACTGAGAGGACACGGTGAACTGACTCTAAACTTCGACACAAAAGGAAGAGAATAGATTTTAAAAATGGCCTGCGAGCCCAACCGAGCCCGTTTGCTGTGTATGCTGTCGCTGACTTTTAGCTTCTTCGTGGTAGAAGTGGTGGTGAGTCGTATCACCGCCTCTCTGTCGATGCTGTCGGACTCCTTTCATATGCTGTCGGACGTCATCGCGCTGGTCGTGGCTCTGGTCGCGGTGCGGTTCGCCGAGAAAACCCACTCGACCAACAAGAACACGTTCGGATGGATCCGCGCGGAGGTGATGGGGGCGCTGGTCAACGCCGTGTTCCTGACGGCGCTGTGCTTCACCATCGTCCTGGAGGCCATCGAGCGGTTCACCGAGCCCCACGAGATCGACAGCCCCTTGGTGGTGGTCGGGGTCGGCGCCGCGGGGCTTCTGGTCAACCTGCTCGGGCTGTGCTTGTTCCACGGCCACGCCGGCGGAGGCCACGGCCACTCCCACGGGGGTCACTCTCACGGGGGTAAGGGCAAGAGGGGGAAAGCCGTGAAGGCTGGGAACGGGTCGGCGGGAGAGGAGACCAACAACCTGGTGGGGAACCACAACAGCCCGGGAGATGTGAGACAAAGAACCGGTGAGTGGAATCCTTCGACATGAACTATAGGTTCTTACATGATCACCCATCAGAAGAGACTGAACTCTTTATTTGTTGGGTCACTGTATCCTTGGAAACCAGTCAGGCATAAAAACAAGGCTCAGGTGTCCTCCTCAGGTTTCTGTCAGACTCAGATAAGAAAACTGACATATGGAAATATTTGACAAGTTTCAGACTGAGCAAAATTAGTTGTTTTGATCACTAATTCAATTTCCACACTTAATTTTATTCAAGTGGATTAGTTGGACCTAAATTAGTAATAACTAGGGATAGATTTGCTGTTTGCTTCTGGATGATTTTTGGTCCAGGTGTATAGTTATTTTCCAGGTGTAGTTTCTATGGTTCAGGTGTAGTTTCTATGGTTCAGGTGTAGTTTCTATGGTCCAGGTGTATAGTTATATTCCATGGGGAGTTTATATGGTCCAGGTAGGGTTTCTGTGGTCCAGGT